GACTAAATTGAAAATGGATCAAAGACTTTAACATTATACCTGAAACCATATACCTAAATTCATAGAAGAAAATGTAGGCAGCAAAATCTCAGCTATTATTCATAGCAGTACTTTATTGGATATATCCCCTCAGGCAAGGGAAACAAAAGAAAAAATAAACAAATGGGACTATATTAAAAGAAAGGTTTTGTGCAGCACAGGAAATCATCAACAAAATTAAAAGATGACCTGCACAGTGGGAGAACATCCTCACTGATACATCTGATGAAGGATTAATATCCAAAATTTATAAAGAATTTATAAAACTTAATACCATAAAAGTAAACCAAATTAAAAAATGGGCAAAGGACCTGAATAGACACTTCTCCAAAGAGAACATACAGATGACCAACAGACATATGAAAAGATACTCAATGTCACTAATCATCAGAGAAATGCAAATTAAAACCACAATGAGATATCATCTCATACCAATCGAATGGCCGTCATCAACAAACCAGCAAGCAATAGGCGCTGGTGAGGATGTGGAGAGAGGGGAATCCTTTTGAGCTGTTGGTACAAATGCAGACTGGTGCAGCCACTGTGGAAAGCAGTATGGAGCTACCTCAAAAAATGTAAACTGTTTAATGAAAAAATATTTATTTTTTAGTATAAGTGAGCTATTTTTAATATGGAATAAATTTACCTGTTCCTCGAACATCCATCCATCAGAACATATCACCACACAGAACAAGTAAAAACATATAATCTGTATTCCAAAACATTTTTTGAACCTGTTCTTTAATACTCATTTTCCCATGAAACACTACTATAAATGGTAGGAAGGCTTGGAAAGATCCAGAGAATCTTAGTCAACTGGTAATTAGGCTGAACTATAGGATTATATTTCTCAATATATCTATACCTACATGATTCTGGCATACATTTCCTTTGGCTTATAAATGAGAATAACTTTCTACCTCCTTCTGCCTTCCTTTCCTGGCACTTAGAAAATATTCTTTGTCTTTAGTGGTCAGCAGCCATGAGAAGACAGATGTATGCTGTGAAAGTAGATGGTTTATTTATTCCTGGTACCTGCAATTTTGTTCGTTTAAATGCTCCTGCTGTCCAATCTGCCTGAAATTTTTTTCATGTTTCCAAACCCAGCCCAGATGCTGTTACCAGCTTCCTTACCCCTGTATGTTTCAAAGGAGGCTACATAGCATACGGCAGGTAAGTGCAATGGATGGGCTCAGTCGTACGGTCTGAATCAGCCTCCTACTGCTATCATGTCTAGTGTATGACCGTGAGGAGTTATTGAACACCCAAGAACTTCAGTTTCATTATATGTAAAATGTGAATAACAATGATGTTACCTACTCATAGGACTGTTGTGAAGCTTAAAAGAAATAATGGAAGTATACCTCTTAGCAGTGTCTAGCAGAGAATGACAGTTAAATGAACAGTAGCTACTATAATGCTATACTTTTCATTATAGACTGTAAGCACCTTGAGACTATGGATTATGTTTCAGCATTCTCGATCTTCAGTTCAAAACCCAGTGCCTAGTATGTAGTGGGTGCTATGATGACAGACAGGTGGGAAGGTAGACGTGGAAGGTGGGCTAAGGAAAGCACCTGAATTGGGATCCGGGCACTTTTCTATGTATGCAATGAGGGCAGGATGTTAGGGAGGAGGGTTTGACCACAGCTTTTGCCAGGTCTGGGACAGCAAAGATTTTCACGGTGACTTCTGTGAAGATCTTGGCAGGATATAACAGGCTCCAAATTTAAAAAATTTCTATGAAGAGTAAGTAAATTAGGAACAAAATTAGGTGATGAGAGTAGGAATTGCAGGGGCTGGAAGTCAAAGAAAGCACTGGGATGGATCACAGTAAACTGCAGAAAGTGAAGATAAAGCTCCATTTGCAATGCTAACGGTGAGATAGAGGCTTTTCTGGCCAGGTCAACAGCGCATTCACTTACTGGGTGTATGCAAATTCATGTGTCAAGGGAAGAATAACAGTTAAAATAGTTAAAATATTGTCATTAATTGCCATTCTTCAAATTTGAAATATCGATGACATGTTTTCTAATCTAATGTCTCTGTAAGCAGCACAGAAAAGAACAGGCCAAACTGAATTCTGAACCTGGGTCAGTTACTTAACCACTGTGAGCTTGTTTCTGCATCCATTAAACTGAGGATACCACCACCACTGGGATTAGTATGAAGGAGGGTTAGTAATAATAAACATGAAGTATCTGACACAATGATTGGCCTATACTGTTATTTTATAAATCAACAATAAAGTCACCATTCCTAAAAAATAAGCTGCTTAATCCTCTTTACTGTTTCATACAGCTGACAATGCTAAGTGGTCAGAGTTGTTATAACACACACAACAATGCTGTATCTGCAACATGTGTCTCAACATTTCCTTCAACACTTAGAGAAGTACAAAAACCAGCCAACAAAGTGACTAGTAATAAGCTCATGCTCACTTCATTAATATTTGAAAGTTAATTTTTTATGTTGAAAGCCAAAGATTTTGGCAAATTCTAGCATATAGGCAAAAGTTGCAATGGGAATTTTAGACTGACTTTGATTATATGCATATTTTTTCATTGTGAAGTGCTATATTACAAGAATGGGGTGATCATTTTGAAAGTTATATAAATGTCTTATCAGTATATTGTACACCTAAAACAAATATAATATTGTATGTCAACTATGAAAAAAATGAGTAAAATGAGAGATCACTAGAATAAAAAGTGACCTTCTTTAATTAACCCTCTTAAGAAGCTGGTCTAACCAATAATAATTTTCATACTACAACCAGTATCTTGGTTTAATCTTGCACTTGTTTTCATTTATCCTTTCTTTAGTTATAAAACTTTGATACAGGTAAATGTATTAAAATCTGCTCAGAAAACATAATAAAGAGCAATCTCCAACTGAAGACCTATAATGATTTCATATTATTAAGTAAATTTAATCTCTCCTAGCTTTGCAGATTCACCATAAACTAGATTTTCCAGAACTTAGTCACATACATTCTTAATCAGTTCTGGCCTCCTCTGAACTCCCAACCTCTGTGCTCTGAGCTCACTCTCACCTCTGAGCTCCTGTGGTCCCCAGCTGCACCGTACTCATCACGCTTTCCTCATGACTAGGTTTTCTGACCAGGGTCTGCTTCAGCCCAGCACCCTGGCTTACTCTGAATCACACAATTAAGCACTTCATCACACACTGTTTGAGTTTTTAATTTGCACAATCCAGCTCTTTAACAGTAGAAAATTCACCCTGTTAATGAATTTTCTATGCATGTCTGTATAACATAAAAGATTGCTCTCACAGGCCACACATGAAAATCCTATGTTAAAGTAAATAAAGCCTCCTCTGAGCTATTTTCTGCCAGTCCTGATGAGAATATCACTATTTTTAGTCAAAGTACCTGACAGGCAAGCTTAATATTTGCTGACTGATTTTTAGGCTAGTGTTAGAAATAAACTCAATCTACACATAATTTTCCTAATTTACCAACATTCAAGCCTCCTTATCACTAGAAGTCAAAATTATGAAGGAAACATTGTTTTATTTTAGTCACAATTAACTTGAGAAAATCTGAGCGCAAAGAATAATATTTGGGTTCCCCAAAAATAAGGGTTTCTAGAACATGATTATTTGTAACTTTTTTTTCATACTTGTGGCTACTAGATCAGAAGAGATTATAAAAAATGCATACAAATAAGTAAAAATTACACATAATCCTGAATCCCTCAAATCACGACTGAAAATCAATATTTACAGGAATGACCCCCAACAATGTCAAATCAAATTAAACCACATCTAAGATTTACCATTTTTGTTAATGTTTTGTTTCTTCATTCAGAATTTACTTAGATTGACTGACTACCTCCAGGAGGCATCACTCAAAACACGCAGACTTTAACTGCAGAGTTCGACACCAGGGAAGGGCAATGCCCAAACTTTTTCTTTTGAGGTTTTAATTAACTCAGTGGCCAAGATGACTTTTTCTTAACAAAGAGGTTTATGTTACCCATTCAAATCTCATTACTGTGAATGAACATCGTTGTACAAGATAAGATGAGAAATGTGTTTTTCCATTCATATTTAGAAAGATATTTATCATTAGAAAATAATAGAGGACAAGGAAATTGACCTAGAGCCACATTAACAAAATAGTATTTCTCTAATCAAAACACACTGGATTAAGCCCTGGCTGGTGTAGCTCAGTGGATTGAGCATGGGCTGCGAACCACAGGGTCACCAGTACGATTCCCAGTCAGGGCACATGCCTGGGTTTCGGGCCAGGTCCCCAGAGGGGGCCACGTGAGAGGCAACCACACATTGATGTTTCTCTCTCTCTTTCTCCCTCCCTTCCCATCTCTCTAAAAATAAATAAAATCTTTTAAAAAAATCCAACACATTGGATTAAATAATTTAAATTACTTAATATAGTACTCTAATAAAACTATGTGAATTTCATGAGTCAAATATTACAGATTCAAGGTGGTGGCAGTTTAAACGTGTTCAGATACTAAGAAATCTGTTAACTGATATTAGGCAAGTATCCTTTTTTTGCAATCTCAGTAATACCACCATGGAGACAAAAAGAAGAGAAGGGTAAAAAGACTTCCCTCTCTCCACAACGGTAAATACCACAAATCTATTGCTATAAAAAATTAGTTTAATTGAAGTCACTTTGACTCTTAGACAAAATATCAAGGGTTCTTAGATTATAATAAAAAAGAAAATATTTTATGTAAATACCAATTGACCATTTTAGATTATGATTAAAGAGGTTTAAGGAAAATAAATCCTCAATATTGGAATAGAAACAATCTTGTTAAAAAGAAGAGAATCTAAAATAGAATTATAATCGAGAATTTACAGAAAACATTTATCAGGAAAGAGTCAGTCACAACCAGAAATAAAGTGTTGTTACGATACAGAGGAAGGAAGAAAGAAATATGTGAAGATCAAAATTTATCACTTACCTCATGATTCAGCTCTGCTATCTGATCTTTCAGTTCCCTAATATACTGGTTAGAATCAGACTTGTTAAGCTGTCCTTGAAGCTTTCCTTCTTCTTTCTGTTTTGTGACAACAAAGCACAAACAAAAGAATTTTCACAGCATGTACTCAAATATTTGAAAATATAGGGCAGCATAGTGGCATATCTTTTAATTGGCTAAATTATGAACAAGGTCTGTTGTCAAACTATTTAAAAAAATGATTCATAGTAAGCTACACTGAATATTTCTAAATAATGCTTAATGGAACTGATTTACAATAAATACAATTTACCTTTTCAGAGACTCTTAGAAATCAATAGTTAAGTGGGTCCACTAGTGAAAAAGTTACCCTAGAATTTCAGAGCCGTTTATCCAGTTATTTTGAGGGCAAATGATGTTCTCTCTGTAAGCGATTCAATGCTTAGTTGAGAATATGGTGAGTCTCCTATAGCTGCACTGGCAATCTGCTTTTGATTGGGGAACAGAGAAGGGGCAAAGAAGTTCTCCAAACTACTCTTACGAGGGGAGCACAGCTCTTAATCTCTTCTCTCCAATCAGCCCAGGAATGTGTGCTGGAGTCCTTCACAGGCTGATTAAGTACCTCCACTCCTCAGAGCTAGTGGCAGACCTTCCTAGGGACCACTTTCCAGGGATATAGGTTGGGAAGGGGAGGGGATGCCTCTTTCTTATGTCACCTGAAAACCAATGTGAACTTTTAAGATAAAGGGCTTACTAGAGAGTGAAAACAGGATTGTTTTGGATCTCTTGATTATCTGTAATTAGGAAGTCACATGTGATGCTTAAAATGTTAAGAAGCTCTGATCCAGAGACATGTACTTAAACTACTGAGTAACTCCTGAAACCAGAAATGCACTGGGTTACTTTTAAGTCACCAACCACTCATTGCCTTCCATGAAGACAACCATTGTTAACAGATTTTTAGTGTGGTCTTATCATATTTTACACATATATAATCAAACACTTATGTATACATACATATGTTTACTTGTACTATAGGTACTGTATACACTTCTATATTTGCTATTTTCTTTCAAGAATACAGCTTGAAGATAACTCAATATCAGTTTGTGTAGAGCACCAAGACACATTTTGATTTGAGAGAGCTTTGAAAGTCCTATAAAAGTCACCTTATTGATATCTAAGTATTTATAGGTTTGTTTTTTAAAGTAGGTTTTAAAATGTGCCTTAGGTCCTATACAATTGCCTTGGGAGTGAGGGGTTGCAGTGAAGAGCAATTTCTAGTGTGGAGACACCTACTGCTATCTTTCCATTCGTAGTAGGAAGGGACCTTGGGCATCACCTGGTTTAGACTTCTGTCTGTAGCCAGGTCTCCCCTCTACTCTCCTTCTGCACACCTTCCCCTGATGTCCTTGGCAGAAAGAGGAACTAGCTAGAACTACTCCAGCAACAGGATGGGTAGTGCCTCTGTAGTCAGGGTACCATCCCAACACAACTGCTCTTCTGTACTAATCAGTCTTGACACCTCAACTGAGTTCTTACACACCCTGTCTGTTTCTCAAACCCTTTCATCAAGCCATTGCTCTCAGCCAGTGGTTTTCAACCTTTTTCATCTCATAGCACATATAAACTAATTATTAAAATTCTGCAGCACACCAAAAAATATATATTTTTGCCAGCCTGAGAAAAAAATAGGTATAATTTTGATTTATTCACACTAAATTACTACTGTTGTCATTTTCTTATTTGACAATCCAAGGGAAAAGAGGTCAGTGCCCCTGACTATATAGTAGGTATCACACAGGTTTTAAAAAATCTTGCAGTCACACCGGCTGAAAATTTGCTGTTATAGCCCCTGCCTGCCCTTATTGCTTTTTTGTTCTTTTTCTTTTGGCAACATGCCTTAAACACCTTTTATGAAATACGGCTTGCTGAAGCAGTTTGATGTAACTAATATTTGTATAGCTATAAAAAAACAACTACAATTTCTATAGGCTCTAAAACTTTTATTATATATTTAAACACATGAATATCACACATAAATCACCTAAGCAAAGATCTGTTTTAATAAGTACTACATTTCAAATATGCTAGGCTTCTTAAATATATACAAAAGATACCTAAGAATTTTAGCCAGAAGCCTGTATTTAAGAAAAATATATATACTTTGAAAATTTAGTTAAAATATTATTTGGCCAGAGAAGGGCAGAACCAACTGAAGAGCAGAAACCAAGTCAGAGTCCTAATTAAATCATCTCTGAGGCCTTTCCTACCTGTTTTTTCATTTATATGTACCAATAAAGTCCCTTTATTATATGAATCAGTTTGCACATGGGTTTCTGCCTCATTACCATAATAATTTAAGACCTACACTGAGATTTCCCCAAGGGAGTTAAACCCAAACTCCTAAAAGTATCATTATATATGTAATGATTTAACTCTTCTTCCAAATTCAGTCTGGTCATGACTATCTCATCCTAAGATTTTCCTTGGCTATATACTTATCCCACCTCAGTCCTGTACATCCCAAAGTGGGGAAGGGTGATGTCAAGTAGAAGGGAGTAAGTAGTGAGTGAGTGAAGTGAGAAGAAAGAATTAAGGAAAGAGAAAAAATATATACGAAGGGAGACTATTCATTGATGTAAAATAAACGAAGCCATTTTTTTATAGAATGCATTTTACAAGTACCATATGTAACATAAGAAATGGTGGCAGCAACTGAGTAAGCAGACATACTTCCACAGGGGGCTGATGTGATAAAAATTACTCATTTGGATATATGTGTTCAGCTGTCCTTTACAATGGCTTTTACTCTTAGCATTACATCACATTAATTCCCTTGAAATGGCTGATTAAATAGAAAGTGCAGTGTACTGCAGGAAGAAATCCTTCAGGCTGAGATGGAAAGGCTAGACACTTGTGGTCTGGAATCAGACTTGGAGAAAGATACCTTTCCATCTCATCCTCAGTAAAAGCCAAGTTCCCGAGGGTGTTGGACAACCTGCAGCAAGAGTGTCATATGAGCAGGACACAATAAAAATTTCAGGAAAAATACTGGGTTGACCAAAAAGTCTGTTTAGTTTTTTTCCATAAAATAAGATAATTTTTCACTTTCACCAGTAACTTTATTAAGATATTTTGATTGTGTCGGCTATCTCCCACTATTGGATCCTAGTGGGTAGAAGCCAAGGGTGCTGCTAAATATCTTTCATTGCATAAGACAGCCTCAAAGCAAAGAATTATCTGCCCAAAATGTCAATAGTATCAAGAAACTTTACAAACCACTTTTGATATGTTTGATCAGTCACAGCACCTTCTCCACACACTGCATAAATCTTTCTTTGCATTTCAGTTTCGTTTTTACTTTTCTTGAAATAATAATGCATAATATGCCATAATTGTTAGATATTTTCTTCAATATTGAAATGGCTGCACAAAAATTCACCAATTTTGATGTAAGTTTTTTTTTAAAAAATGCAAGCTGATATAACAACTATCACAATACAATCTAAGAAAACTGTTTTGAATTAAGTTCAAAACAACTAAGTGCTACTAGACCCATTTTACAGAAAAACCAAACAAACTTTATGCCCAATCCAATTAAATGACAAAACTGAGATAAGCTCTAATATTGTAACATAGAGGTTCAACAATGCAGAAATACTTAAAGTTTAAATAATGTAAAGTAATCAGTAATAATAATTAACACCAACTCTTTCTTATAGGGAAAGTTACATGAAAAAAAAAGTTTGTCAAGGTAGGAATCAGCCCTGGCTAGTTGGTTGGAGAACAGCCCTGTACACCAAAATGTTGTGGGTTCAATTCCCAGTTAGGGCACATGCCTGGATTCCAGGTTTGGTGCCAGTTAGGGCATGTGCAAGAGGCAATGGATGGATATTTCTCCTTCACACTGATGTTTCTCTCCCTCTCCCCCTCCCTTCTCCTCTCTCTAGAATCAATAAGCATTTTTTTATCCTTGGGTGAGGATAAAAAAAATTAAAAACATAGGAATCAAAATCTGTTTTTACATAAAGCAACCAGGTGAGTCCAAAGAGCTGTTTCCTCCAAAGGTGGGTCTTAGTAAGGTTTAGCTGAAAACTTTGTTATAACACCCTGATTTCTTTGGAGGAAAGGCCCTCTTAGATTTTATGACTAAAAAACCCCAGATGTTCCTTGAGTTTCCATTAATTATAGAAAAAGGGCAGAATTTCAGAGAGAAAAACTCTGCACACTTGAATAACTCCAACTGTATATAATTATTCTTTTAAGGTTTAAATATAACTTTGTAAAGCTCAAAAGTCAGACTGATGGCCATTAATCATTGTTTCTCAGGATATACCACTCCCAGCCAAACAACAACTTGCAGGGCACACCAGTTAGACTGAGGGCAGAAGAAGGGTGACTGAGCAGCTCCTGGCTCCAGCAGTGGGCCCAGGACAAGACCTCACTTTCCCAGCACACCTGTCACACATTAGCAGCACATTAGTGTGGCAGACACACCAGCTGGAAAGCTCTGCAAGGAGTATTCTGATTCAACAGCCTGCTTAAAGGGAACATAGCTGCTATTTCAAAAATACCGGTGACAAGTGAGAGATGTTGTAAATGCTACTTAATAAATTAAAATGTATAAATGATATTTTATCCAGAAGTCTGGGATTTTTATGTTCTACAAATGGGCTCTGATGAAAATGTGTTAATTCAAAGTCTTTTAAGGACCCTCTTTAAATGTAAACTGGCCCTGGCCCTGGCCTGGTTGCTTAGTTGGTTAGAGCATCATCCTGATACACCAAGGTTCCGGGTTCAGTCTCCAGTCAGAGCTTATACAAGAATCAACCTATGAATGCATAAATCAGTGAAACAACAGCTCAATGCCTCTCTCTAAAAATCAATAAAAATGCAAAAACTGAGTAACTATATATATTTATAATAACCCCCCAAAATCGAATGAACTGTTACATTCTAAGAAGTGGTATCAATTTAATTCCCCTTGTGAGACAGTTCATTCAATTACTTAATAGTAAGATTTTTTGTAAGTATATTTAAGCTTTCTATTTTCAAGCAATGTCCACAATGCTCTTTCTGATAAGCAGGTGGGGAAA